TTGGTATACACATACAGTTTTAAAATACATTATTAAATAAAAAGAGTAATGTTACAATATAATTATCTAAAAAAGTGTTAGGTTATCCGCATCGCATTGGAAATATATATGAATGGCAGAACCCATTATAACAATATCATGTTGACAAGATAGTAAGATATTATGATATAAATGTATAAGTGTGTGTGAAGAGTGATGTCCCAAATAGTCTTTTACTCGCTCCTCGGTCAGATGCTTGAAACAAGAACATTCCGGTTATGAGTGTCGAAATTAGCACTCTGACGGTTAAATTAGATTGTGAATAAGAGGGAATGAGTATAATATTTCAGAGATAGTCTAGTTGGTTGATAGTGCATACATTTTCCCTTATATATATCTATCTTCTTTATATAGTTATTTGGTATAGATATTTTCTACATAATTTGACATGTTTGTCATCATCATTTGAATGTTAGGGCCGAAGTTTCTACTACACCTCTGGAAAGGGACAATATTGGTCCACTCTGGTACTTGGCATAGTTGCTTGCCGATTCTGCCTAATCCACTTACTTGGCACATCATCTGAGGGCTGAGCACTCTGCTCGGCACTTCCCTTCTCGGCAATCCAATGGGCTTTGTTTAATTTATATAGCGACCCCCGGTCTTTTCCCATTTGATTATTGTATCTGGACTTAGGTTCCGTAGATTCTGTCATTATATAATTGTTGTTGTTGTTGTCCCATATTTTCTTATTTGGGTTATAGGATGTGTTGGGCAGGTTTGTGTCAGGTTGGTTGGGTTTAGAAACCAAGCGTTGCTGTCCAGAATTTTGGTTCTTCGCTCGAGCGAGGAGTTGGTCGCTCGAGCGAGCTGTTGTTTTTGGTTATTCGCTCGAGCCGGGGTTTGGTCGCTCGAGCGAGAGTTTGCGTCTAGTATAGACCTGAAGTATTGCATTCTTGGCTCGAGCGAGCTTTTCTTCGCTCGAGCGAGGATTTCTTGTTTTCTGGTCGCTCGAGCGACCAAGTCTTCGCTCGAGCGAGCTGTCCAGTTTATACACAGCAGCGGGTTTTGATCAGTCTTTTTCATCTTCTTTTTGATTCAAACCCTAGGTCCGACTTCTCTCTTCCCTACTCCACTTCTCTCTTAGGTTTGATCTATTTAGAGTGTGTTCTACCCTGGTTGCTTTATTAAAAAAGATAGAGGGAGTCGAGGGCTTTCATTTAATCTGAACATTTGGCGATTTGGAGCACATTGGTATTTGGGTATTCATCTCTGTCTTCTCCATTTGGGTTGTTTTTCTTCGAGGTAGGGATTTCTTACTCCATTCTATAAGTTTTGTTCTAAGTTTTGGTATTTTGATATGTTGGGGATACTTTGGAAATTTTGGGAAAAACCCTAGTGGTATTAATAAGTTAATTTGTATATTAATTAAAGGAAATTGGGGAAATATGGTTAAATTCATTGATTAAGAGGTGTAGTTGGATAATTTAAATCACTCACCCATTGAATTGTTGATATATTTATTTTCAGTCTAAGAAATAACTGTTTTGGGCTACGGTGGAGGATAGCTGTGATTGTTGTAGACACTGCATGTGGATTAGGATAACTGAAACTAATCATTGATTAAATCATCAATTTGACTGTTATTAATACAGCATTATGTGTATTGATTGTGTGTTGCATATGTAATGTGTTTACATACATTGTTTTGTGTGGGAGGAGATAGGGGATGTACGCACGGTTTAGGGGAAGATAGGGGATGACCTCTAAACCGGATTTTTGTTTGGGAGGAGATAGGGGATGGACTCCATTAGCATCACTTTTATGTGTGCTTATTTATATAGAAGTGTTTTTATTGATACAGCACTAAAAGTGTATCAATCTGGAAGTATGAAGTGTTTTGATTTGAGCTTGAGTCTCATTTGTTTGTTGACATTGGAAGAATGTGAATGATATATATATATTCACTGTTGTAAGTTTGGCCAGGTTCTGAGCCATATTAATAAAGTTGGAAAATAAAACGTGTCTTAGACAATAGTGTCATGAGACTGTAAAATGAAGTAATTGATTATCTTGGTTAACCATCTATTGAAGCTATTGCTTTATTCATTGCTTATATTTGGTTTAGTATATTTCTACTGGGCTGTGGCTCACCCTTTATGGGAACATCATTTTCAGGTTCAGGTGATAAGCTACCTCCAAGGACTTAGCTTGGAAGGACTTGGATTTTGAAGACTATTTCTAGTTATTTGTTTTTCATTGTTTGTACATGTAAACACTCAAGCCTAGGGCTTTATTTATATCTGAGTTAGAACTCATACTTTTGTGTCCAAGTGTTAGCTTGGAAAGATGTAAGCCGTTAGGACATTTAATTTGATGTTACATGTAATGCTTTTGTTTAGTAAGACTCTGATGAATAATATAATGAATTATTGAAGTGTTTTCTTTAAATAATGCATGTCATTGATATATATAATGGGTAAATTTTTAGGGCGTACAATTTGGGCCTGTGAAAAATAGGCTCATGTTTTATACTTGGCTCACACAGTGTAGCAATATTGTTTGTCATATTTTTTACGAAAATATTCTTAGAACGCACTCAAAATTGTGAAAATTTTAAAAATTCGTATTTTTTTTTTTACTCCTAGAAAACAAAAAAAAAATGGAAAACAATATCCGGCTTTTTCTTAACCTTAGACAATTTTTCAGTCTTCTTTTTATTATTATTATTTTTTTGTAAATATTAAAACCAAAATGGTTTCTAAAAACTAGCCAGACAAAAATGAATGTTCAATTGCCTATCATCTTGAGATTGTGGCAAGTTGAGGCCAAAAATCGTAACTGAGAGTCAACTAGTGCAAGAAAAAACATATTTATCTCTACCTGATTCTTCAAGCCCCAACAAAAAATAGTGGATGTTGTTTTTTCCACCAATGACCAAAGTTTTAAAGTACCACCTAAAAAATATTAAAATCAAAATGGTTTCTAAAAACTAGCTAAACAAAAATGAACGTTCAATTGCCTATCATCTTGAGATAGTGGCAAGTTGAGGCCAAACATCATAACTGAGAATCAACTAGTGCAAGAAAAAACATATTTATCTCTAACTGATTCTTCAAGCCCCAACAAAAAGTAGTGGATTTTGCCTTTTCCATCAATGACCAAAGTTTAAGGGAAAATTATGCAAATAGTTCATGTATTTTATATAATGTGTCAATTTGATCTCTGTAATTTTAATTTATTTGATTTTGCTCTTTAATTTAACGGATTGTGTCGTTTTAGTCCAATAAATAACAGTTGTTAAGTTAATTTAACGGAAAGTCAAACAATATGTCAATTTGGTCCATGTATTTTTTACAATGTGTCAATTTAGTCTCTGTTAAAATTGAGAAAATTGAAACTACAGGGATCAAATTGACACATCGTGTAAAGTAGAGGGACCAAATTAACACATTATTTAACCTTCTGTTAAATTAATTTAACAACCGTTATTTATTAGACTAAAATGACACAATCCGTTAAATTTAGCAGAAAAATCGAGCAAACTCAAACTATAGGGACCAGATTGACACATCGTGTAAAGTACATGGACTATTTGCATAATTTACCCAAGTTTTAAAGTACCACCTAGACACGGGGAATGAAAGAAAAATATTACATATAATTACATTCTTTATCTTGTTTTCTTGTTTTATAACACAAATAAATAGGTCTTATATATGTTTATGAATGGGAATTTCATTACCTTGTCTTTAAGAGTAAGAAAATAAGATAAAAAATGAGATTACATATAGTATTACTCACATATGAAATAGCTTTTCCTAGAGTAAGCTGAAATTTTTTGAAGTTCAAGAAAATAAATGTAAACCGTTACAAATTAAATACAAGAAAAAAAAAAAAAAAACAAGTAGCATTTGTTTGGTTTAAGGCTCAACTAGTTAACCATATTATTATTCAATGCATAAAAAAAATACAAATATTGATATTAATGTATTAATGACACATTAGTTGGTAAATTCTACTAGTAAATAAAATATTTGTTATGTGAATCCACTTATCAAGTGAAAAAATATCAAATTCAGTAGGTACAAATATCATTTTACAGTAAAGTTACCTTTGAATTATAACCCGTGTTTCTCTCTCAATATTACTATCTCTAGAGATTACAACACTTTGAGATTGTCACATTATGATTTATTTGGAATTGATTTTTTTTACATGTTTTAATTTTTTATAAAAAAAATTAATAGAATGTGCTGATTTTTTGTAATGACTTTTTAGCTAAACTCTTATATTTTCAAACAAGGTGGGAATAGAGCCCGTACAGCTGGTCACAAATTTTATTTTGATAATTCAAGTAGTTTATTTTTATCAAATACTTAATTTATGTCATTTACACTAAAAGTTAAGTTGATTCAATAATTACAATTTATTCAATTTATTATGTTTTTTTTTTTTTTTTTTTTTTTTGTTTTTTTTTTTATCTTCTAAAAAATGTGAGAGGCGGAGGGGTTGGTTGTTTGGGTGCGAGTAACAGTAGTAGGGATAGTTTGTACTTTTCGAATCTTTCTCGGTGCACTTTATCTTCCTGTACTCTTAGGCCAAGTTTGGGAAGACTAAATAAGTGTACTTTTTGTCTTTTTGGACTAAAAAATTAAGGTTGAAAATATGGATGTTTGGGTTAACTTTTTGACTTTTTATTAAAAAATATGTAATAAAAAATTGTAAAAATTGATTTGTAGGAAAAAATTTGAATTGGGAGTTGTGTAGCCGTAATTGTTGACTTTTGGTAAATAGTGTTAACTTTTTAACTTTTTGAATAACTTTTTGACTTTTTGATTTTTTTAGGAGTACCCAAATTTTACCTTAATTTCATGCCCTTAGTGTAATTTTTCTTTCTTGATCAAAAAAAAAAAAAAAAATTGCCATCGCTAGACCCACACGGGTCCCATTGCCAGACATCCTTCAAAAATCCTTTGTAAGAGCCAATCCAAAAACATAAAAGCTGTCTCCAGTTTAGACTTGAGGGTTTTGTTTACAAATTACAATCTATACAGAAAAACAGTGGAGATCTCTAACAAATATGGAAAATGGTAAACACCCTTCGCCTCTTCAACTCCAATCACCACTGCCACTGCGTCAAACGCCGCCGTGGAAGGTGGTGGTGGTGGCCTCAATAGCCGTCGGGGTTCACTTCGGCTGGGCTTTACAATTCTCTCTCCTCACACCATACGTGCAGCTTCTAGGCATCCCACATAAATGGGCATCCTACATTTCGCTCTGCGGCCCCATCTCCGGCATGGTGGTGCAACCTCTCGCCGGCCACTACAGCGACCGTTGCACCTCCAAATTCGGCCGCCGCCGCCCCTTCATCGCCGCCGCCACCGCCCTCGTCACCGTCGCCGTCATTCTCATTGGCTTCGCCGCCGACCTCGGCCGCCTCTCCGGTGACCGCCTTGACTCCGCCAAGCCCCGCGCCATCACCATCTTCGTGGTCGGATTCTGGATCCTGGACGTCGCCCACAACCTTCTCATGGCCCCCTGCCGCGCCTTCCTCGCAGACCTCTCCGACGGCGAGCAGCGCAAAACTCGAAACGCCAGCGCCGTCTTCGCATTCTTCACCGCCGTCGGCAACGTACTCGGCTACGCCGCCGGATCGTACTCGAACCTTCACCGCCTCTTCCCCTTCACCTCAACACAGGCCTGTGATGTTTACTGTGCGAATCTCAAGACCTGTTTCTTAATCTCAATCACTCTGTTACTCACTCTAACCATACTTGCACTCAGCACTGTGAGTGAAGATCCAATTTCGAGGCTCTCGGTAGAGAACAAGGATGAAACGGTGCCGTTTCTGGGGTTTTTCGGGGAATTATTGAGTGCGTTGAAAGAGTTTCCGAAGCCCATGTGGTACCTATCGTTGGCGATGATCCTGACCTCGACTGCTTGGTTTGGGTTCGTGTTGTACGACACTGATTGGGTGGGGAGAGAGGTGTATGGTGGAGAGGTTGGAGGGAAGGTGTACGATGGGGGAGTGAGAGCGGGGTCGTTGGGGCTGATGCTGAACTCAGTGGTGGCTGGGGTGATGGCGCTGGCGGTAATGCTAGTGGCCCGTGGAGTCAAGGGAGGGAACCGGCTGTGGGGTTGCGGTAACCTTGTGTTGGCGGTATGCTTGGCGATGACGGTGTGGATCACTAAAGTTGCAGAGTCGACACGGCGGCACGCAGTGGCCAGTGGTGGTGGGACTACGCCGGCACGTGGTGTCAAGGCGGCAACTCTCTGTGTCTTTGCGGTGATGGGGATTCCTACTGCGGTGAGTTTTAATTTAGAGAAAAGATAGAGATTATGAAAAAACTTTCATGAAATTGATTATGAAAAATTTATGATCCTTAGATTACCTTGATTAGTGTGTTGTGTTTTATTTTAAGTGTAATTTAAGAGTCATAAATCTTTCATGATCATTTTCATGATATGTAACATTGCTCTTTAATTTAAAGTCAGTGTTCCGTCACAAATGAATCTTATTCATATTTACACAGTTATTTGGAAAGTGTTAAGTGTTCCGTCACAAATGAATCTTATTCATATTTACACAGTTATTTGGAAAGTGTTAAATAAATATATATTTTTAATTTTTTATAAAATGATATATAATAAAATTAGAAAATAATAAGATAAAAAAGTGAGTTACAGTATTAATATAATATATACCAAACAAACTCTTAATTTTTAACAAAATTCTAAATATTTTTTTTATTTAAAAATAGTGGTCGATTAATGTGAGTTATACAAAGCGTGATTGACCTCTCGCGCCCTAGTAAAATATTATCCTCTTTGGCGAGATGGGCGCAGGGCCTCGTCGGCTTCACAGCTTTAAAACGTGTCTTAACAGGTGGAGAGGGCCAATACGCTTGTAAGTTGGTTGCAAGTGTCCCTCCCAGACAATGTGGGATTGCCCCAACATAACCCCCCAGCGGACTGGGCCGCGAACAGCGGGAGAGTTTGCTGGACGACCTACATGGGCCACCAAACTTGCGTGACTAACCTCTCGCGCCCTGGTAACATATTGTCCCCTTTGGCGAGGTGGGCACAGGGCCCCGTCAGCCTTATGACTTTAAAACGCGTCTTAACAGGTGGAGGGGACCAGTACACTTATAAGTTAGTTGCAAGTGTCCCTCCCAGACGCTGTGAGATTGCCCCAACATTAACAAACAATTATATTTATAATTAATGAAAGGTAATATTTAATAAAGCTACGTTATACCTTCCTAGTGTACAAAAATTTCTCTATATCATCATATGTTGTTGCATTTTTTTTCTCTCCTCTCTAAGTTTGTTATAAGCACCCACATGCCATATGAACATGTTTCATGTTTGACCCTCAGGATTATCATTTGTTCTCTCGGTCTCTCTCTCTCTTTCGAACTTCTAGTTTTAATAGTAAAGTTAATATTTGGTGTAGTTATAATTTTTTATCCCTTCAAATCTAACTGCTTATGTTCATAACTGCCGTTTTAAAAGTTTTGCACGAGTATTGTGTATACATGTGTAGTTGCTTCTTTGAGGGGGGAAAAAATCCAAAGAAAAACGTGTTTGGTAAATTTTGTTTTTAGTTTTTTTTTTCAAGGTAACCCATTAAATGCCAACATTTTTAAGCAATAAGTGATTTTAGGTACTCAAAATTTTATTAGAAAACAATGTTTGGTTTCCATCCTTCAAAATGTGAATTTCACCATACAAGTGTTGCATTGTTTTTCTAGATAAAATTTTTGTTTACTTTTTCTAAATACCTAAATTATTATTAAGCAACCAAAATCAATTAGGGTATTTTTTTTCTATTTTTGTTTTTTGGAGTTAAACATATTGTGCAATTTGTAGCTTATCCAAACCTTTACAATAATTTCTGATTGTTTTGTGTTTTGTTTTGGCCTTTGTTTGTAATGTTGGTTCCTCAACGTCTGAGGCTAGTGCTAGCATATGATAGGATTCCTTTCTCGGTGTTAACTTAGTTGGAATTGATAAAATTACGGAATAAGATTAACAATTTCACTTAAATATTACATATTCATATATTTGCTAATAGATGAGTTCACATTGGATGCATGAACCTGTTTCTTAATAAAAATGTAAGTCTCACTTCGAAGAATAGATCAGTGAGACAGATTTTAGTATTTTATGAGAGGGAGAACTAGAAATATGAGTGTATAACTAGAAAGATTTGAACAACTTTTTAGAATAAAAAAAGTTAAAGGTTTTATTTTTTCGTGTAAAAAAAGAATAAAAAGATTCATAATCAATTTCACTGGATCGATGTTAGAGATAATTATTATAACATTTGTGTTGGTCGCTATTTATACGGTAAAGTAATTTGCTACCTTAAAATAGTTAAAGTAATTGCCACATTTTATGCTTTTGAGAAAAAGAGCTTTTTTGGCACATACAGTGGTAGTCACTTGTCACTTGTCCCATGTATTTTTTGGACAGCATAATCATTCCATCTAAGCTAATTCCCATACCCATTTCATATTTATCACCCACTTCACTTCAGCTCGCCTTCAAGTTTTTGGATGGACAAGTATCGGAGGGCATACAATTGATGATTGTCTCAATCAAAGCCTTCTAGAGTTGTATCAGACTATATGCCTTGCTTGAGATGTTGGTTGGCTTTTTAATTTTTTAATTTTTTAATTTGGAGTTAAAAAATCTCGTTTGGAATGAATTTTTTTGACTTTTTTGAAAAAAAAATAAAATGATTATATTTTAGATATAACATTTTATCTTTTTAACTTTTTAGTCTATTTTATTATTTTGTAACTAAAATAGTCAAAAAAACTTCATGCCAAACATAGCCTATAAATGAGGATTTGATGGAACTATACGATAACCAATCTCTTCCTTAAAAAAAGCAATCACTTGAAGATTGTTCAAAATAATATCATGGCCATATAAATAGCACATCTATATATGGGACCATATGTAATTTTATTTGCTTTAATTTTATCAATTGAATTCAAACATGTATTTATTATATAATACTTCTAACAAAAATATTAATGGCAACATAAAAACCATCATTATAGTGTAGTTCGGATGAAAATAATTAAAATTTACTTGATCTTGTCACTTTGTAATTTCTTAAAATTATTTTCATTTAATTTTAAAATAAAATTTTAAAATAATTATTTAAAATCATGTATAACACAAGTTTATGGTAGTCATTTTAAAAGGGATGGTGACAATGGCGGGATGTGATGGGTAAGATTCTAATTTAAAATTTATTTTTTATTTGAAAAATAAAAATATTTTCTGTCTGAATAAAATAATTACTTTTGTGGTTGTGCAGACAACTTCCACAATTCCCTTTTCATTGGGATCCATTTATTGCAGCAGCTTTGGTGGAGGCCAAGGTAAAGTAACATCTTCAATTTTCTTTTTTTTGGAATAATTAAATATTTCTTCTAAGACATTTGTAATGTTTCAATCTTATAGGTCTTTCCCTGGGAGTTCTGAATATTGCTGTAATCCTACCCCAGGTAAGATTTCATTATCTATCATATTATTGTTTCAACTCCCAGTTGTGCCAGTAATACATAATATTTTTACAAAATAAAATATAAATGTGAGATAAAAAGTGTATGTTGAATCATTATTATGTGATAATCATCTGTACGCTTAAGTTTATTCTTCAAACCCATGCTTCTTAAGCTCATTCATATAAAATTAAACTTAAGATAATGTTTGCTTCACTAAAATGAAATAGGAATGAAATGTTTATTTGATTAGAATATTCATTATCATATTTAGTTCACTAACAAATAATAAAAAATAAATTATAAATCAAATCATTATGAAAAATAGCCCGCACTCCCACTGGAGGGTGACCCCAGGCCCCAGTGGGCTATGATTGGTGCATTTTTTTTTTTTTTTTGAACCAATGACCAACCCCCACGTGTGTGTGAAGTGGTGGGAGTGAGACTCTACTGGGATTTCAATCAAAGTTGAATCATTATACATTATTGAACACATAATTTTTACTTAAGCATAGCACCCCAAAAACAAACTTTATTAATTTGCATTAGATTTAAAAATGAACCAAATGTAGTTCTATTACCTCATTAAAAAGACATTTGAATATGAACAATCTTCATGTATTACATGGGTTTTCAATAAGGAAAAAGTAGTGAAATATTCCTTTCTAATTTTGTATAGTAGGAAAGGACTAAAATATTTTTTTTTATTACCTAAGATCCCTCAATGAAATTTATTTGTGATCATACTAGAGAAATTTCCAAATTTCTCTATAAAATCAAAAAAAATTCTCTATAAAAGTTAAAATTTCTCTGTATTAAGGTTGAAATTTCTTTAAGTTGGATTGAAATTTTTTTGAATCGAATTTTTTATGAAAATATTAAAAGACTTTAACTATTATAAAAATAGGGCCTGGCTTTGGTCCAGTCCACCATCGGACTGGGCCGTGCTGTTGGGTCCGTGGAGGCTTACCACGGGTCCCATTTTGTAAATCTGAATCGTTTAAAGTGTAGAACTCGTCAAGTACTATACGGCTGTGAAAAATCACGTTGATCGGATATCAATAGTTATGTGATTAAAATAATTTTTTTTATCAACCGTTAATTTATTCACCGTCCATTTTTTTATACAAAACTGATTTGATCACATAACTATCGATATCCGATCAACGTGATTTTTCGCAATTATATAGTACTCGACGAGTTTTATACATTAAACGGTTCAGATTTTCAAAACAAGACCCGTGATGGATCCTCACAAACCCAACAACACGGTCCAGTCCGATAATAAAATGGACCAAAACCAGACCCATAAAAATATTATATATCCTTAATCTTACAAAATTTCAGTACGAGATCTTAAAAAAAATTATTCCTTCCAAAAATGCAAGGGGCCACATGTTAGAGAGTCCATATATAGGATAGGCCACTTGAGATGAGAGTATGCTTCAATTATTGGAAAAGGCCGGACAGTTATATCTACAATGCTGATCTCAAGTTTGACCAATGGTTTAAAAAAAAAAGAAAAATTATTTTAAAAAAATTATAAAAAATGAGAGAATTATCATCGAGCTATACTTTCAAAAAATTATTATAGGGACATGAAAAAATTTAATACTTTTATCATTAATATTGATAAAATCTATCATTAATTTGTAATTTATATTTAAAATTTTTACTGATTTGTTATTTTCCTAAAAAAATATGATAATCATTTTAGATATTAGTTCACATTTTTTTGATCTTAAATTTATATTTTATACTTCATTTCTAGAGTAATTTTAAAGATAAGAATTTATGATAAATAAATTTTTTTATTTATAAATCTGGATAATTGATTCATCTTCTCATGAGGACTACCATAATGCTGTTATTGTGTGCAACAATAGTAATAAATTCTATAATAAACACGTTTTTTTTTTGCGACTTGTCAGAAAAATCAATAATATGAAATTTTATATCAAATTTAGTAGTTGTTTAACCTATCATCTTATTTAAGTCACAATCATTTTATTTGGATCATATCACTTTTTATTTGAATCACATTATCTCTTTACAATATCACTTTAAACTTAACTCATATTTTACATTTTTTGATAAAAAATTAAAAAATATGCTAATTTAGCACTTTCCAAACAACTTCTTAATATAAAATTTTATTGAAAGTTGCTACGGTGTGCTTTCGAAAAGGACATACATACACGACATACTTAAATTGTTTTTGTAATAATTGAGAACATTTTTTTTACAAAAAATTCATAATACCTCTTATTGAAATAATTCATAATATTTATATGTTACCGCTCATAATAATATCATAATATTTATAACATACCATTAATAATTTATAAGTTTCACTTTAGATATCTCTCACCACTCACAGCCAGTCATCAGAGAATGAGTTTGATTTTCCTATTAAAAAAAAAGAGAAATATATGTAAGCATTTTTAGATTGTAATGAAATCCTCATCATTCAATTAGAGGCTTAATCCTTAGGGCTAACAAACATGAAAAAATAAAATAAATTCATATATATATTTAGACGGTGTTTGGATAAGATTGTTTTTGGATCAAAGATTTAAAGAAAAATATTTGGAGAAAAAAATTGAAAAAAGAACTTTTATTTTATTCATTCTCTTTCTTTTTCCCTTTTTTCCACAAATACTTCCTCAAATTATTAATCCAAACAGGACATTATATTCATGCTTTCCTTCTTTTTTATTTTATTTTTTTAATTTTTCTTTCCAACCAAACAGGAAGTGTTATCATCTCTTTTATTTTGCATTTTTTTTTTATGATGATTAATGGTTGGACTATTTATTTTTCAGTTGAATTTTTGATTAAATCCTCATAAAATAAATGTCATTATTTTTTAAAAAAAATTTAAAGCACTTGTTAGATGGGGACTAAACTAATCTTAGCTAGCTAATGTTGCAAACAGTTGGTGGTTTCACTTACAAGCGGACCATGGGACCAGCTGTTTGGTGGCGGCAACTTGCCAGCATTTGTAGTTGGAGCTGTTGCAGCAGTGGCGGGCGGTGTGTTCGTGCTTGTGTTGCTCCCATCGCCACCACGAACTGATCACGATCCATCATCACCATCCGTTTTAAAGATCACTATCTCTGCACCTTCCCATTGAAATATTTTTCGATTAATTTTGAGTCGAAAAATGTCTTACAAATAGAATTTCCATATATAGAGTATAGGGTCATATTAATCTGAATAAAATTTTAGTACTTAAATTCTACTTACAAACTCGTGGTTGTGTAATTTGCTCCTTGTATTAATTAAGTTATTGTAGTTTTAATTATATCAATTTTGTGTTTATTTTTGTATAATAATATGTTAATTTAATTAAATTAACTACATCTGTTATCCATCTGTTTAAAGATCCTTATTGCTGAACCAAGGGACTCTAACCTAGTTGGTTTGTTTTTTGGCTATCAAGTCTCTCTTAAAGGAGAGGTCATGCGTTCCACTCTTAGGAGTGGAAAGGGGGAGCAAGAGTTTTTTTGTAAGATGTATAAATGTGAGTTTCAACTCCTCAATGTGCTAATCTAACAATTAATCACTAATTTTCGATGATTAAAAAAAAAAAAAAAATCACTACCGTTGGAGCTTCACACTGAAATGGAACCTAAACTATACTTTCCTCGTTCTCACCTGGTTTTTGTTAATTAATTGGACAAATATTTGCATTTAATGTACGTTTATGAATATTTTTCCAACTTCGGTGGCTAGTTATTGTTGTTGTGCCAAGAGAGTTTAGAAAAGTGTTTAATTTCTCTTATATTTTAATTTAAATTTAAAAAAATTTGAGTGGCTTATTAGACTCATCATGAGTTCGTTTCGATAATTCAAATTATTCATTTTATAAAGTTCTCATTGAATTATATATTATTCATTAAAAAAATTAAATTAATCTGATAATTGTAATTTTTTTATTTTATTTTATCACATTTATCTTAAAAAAATAATGATAAGTATGCCTTTGAAAATTGAGAAGAGGTTTTGGAAAGTATAAAATTCAAAATCCACCTCTGGTCAAAAGGGAAGGATGTGTGCAATTCAATTAATATTAGTGACCTTGTGTTTCGACTGCGCTCCATGAAGGATTATCTGTAGCAGTACACTTGGGCTCTAGTATTCTTGGCTAATTTGTGCGAATCCATGAGGGGATTGATTCAAGCTGTTTTAGTTTTTCTTGTTGAGACTTTGACTTGCAACTGGGGGGGTTCTGGGGACTGTGGCCTGCTGCCGTGTTCATGGTCTGTTAGTGTGTATTTTATTTTATTTTCTTAAATTTGTCTCCTAAGTTGGTTACTCACCAATTGGCTGTTGTGTTAATAAATGATTGTGCATACATTTTGATGTTAACATAGTTGGAATGATTTTACACACTGTGATGCTTTGGCACTCCCCATCCTTTATTGATATTGTTGTATTTGTATTTGTACTATACTTTTCATTAATAAAGTTTCTTTTTTATTAATTAAAAAAAAGGTATGCTTTTAAAAATAGATAATTTATTTTTTTAGAGACAAATATATTAAAATAAAAAGCTTATGATTATCGAATTGATGTAACTTTTTTTATAAATAATATGCATGTAAAATGAACAGTTTGAATTATCAAAATGAAGTTGATGGTGAGCACATGGGATAATTAGTTATAATTATGAAGAATAAAAATCACAACTATCACAAAAAATAAGAAAAAGAGTGTAATAGTGACAAAGTTGTTTGGGGAGTGACTTTTTGATTAAAATAGTCAAAAAAATTAAATCAAGTTATTACATTACTCTATCTATTTTTCATACTTTTTTTTATAAAAAATAAAAAAATCAACTAGATTAAGTAATCACGCAAGGAAAGGTTGTTTCTATAAGATTTTTAGGATATATATATCAAGATTTAAAACATCATAATAATCTTATTAAACTAAACTTTAAAGATTTAAATATGTACCGTTTAATCTTGCCATCATCATGAGATACTGAGGAACCATCTTCACAATTAGAAAACTCTAGCACTGGCTCTTTTCTCCCTTCTCCTAATCTTTACGTTGTCTTTTAATGAGACTGATAACTTTTTGATTCACATATATATATATATAGATATATGTAAACCTTAGTAGGATAAGAAAGCGGACCAAGTCTAAATAAAACAATTACTGGACCCTCTCATTAAAAAACTCATATAACTTAAAATATGCCTTACACCTATATAGAGCATTGTAAAGCATGATGTATATTTTCTTATAAGAAATCATCTAGTGAATATTTTAAAACTCTACTTCTTTAAATAGTTAACATTTAATATAATTTCAATCTTTTTACACTATATTGAGATGTTAATATAAAGGGTTAAGAAGGCACATTCTCGAGTATACCAATTTTTAAATTAGTTAGTCTTAAAGCTAACTCAATAACTTTTAATTGATTCATAATCAAAATTTTAATGGAGTAAATTTGATTATCATAAAAATATCTCCCTTCATTGATTTCAATTCAATATAATATCAATCAATTATATATGGACAATAATAATCTCATCACCACAATTAATATTATCATATATTTAAAATGTATCACTTTTAGACTGAATGTATAGATTGTATTTTAACATCTCCAATTTTTAATTATACATAAAGCAATTGTTATAATCTCACAAGAGTATGCTATGAATGAGCTTTAGCAATATTCTCAGATGCACCATAATATATCATTATATAATCATAGTTGGGCTGAATATTTAGGACAATCAACATCTTTAAATTTCAATATAATCTTAATTAATTATACATGAACAATAATTATAATCTCACAATAACAGGCAGTAAATAAATTTTAACAATATTCTTAGATATTCTAGAATGTATCACTGTATAAACACCTTTGGATTGAATATATAGGACACAATTACATCTTTAAACAAGTTAACTAGAAAGAATGATTTATCAAAAACTATCTCATTTAGGTAAATAATTTTTTCAAAATTAATAAAATTTTCCTTACTACCAACTCACACTACCTCTAAAATTAACACATACAAGTAACCCCTTTGGGTAGGTTTTGGGTGATATAATTTTAGAATTTTCCAAAATCCTTACTGGAAAATCACTTTAAATCTTAATAAGTTAACCATTTTAGCAATATCACCCACATTGATAAAAATAAATAAATAGATAAAAAATAATAAATAAATAAATAAATTCCCCAACTAGGACTACATCAAAAATAAATATTTATCACTACAACAAAATACACATTCGGCGACCAAAATTAGCGACCAAAAAAAATTTCGTCGCCAAAGGTTATGAAATTGGCGACCAACTAATTTTTTTAGTCGCCAAAAGTAAAATATTTAGCTACTAAATTTTTTTAGTCGGGGCATATTGGTTTTTGGCGACTAAAAAAAATTTTCGTCGCTAAAAATGCTAGAATTGGCGACTAAAAAAAATTTTAGTCGCCGTATATTAAGTTTTGGCTACTAAAATCATTTTGTCGCCAAAAGAAAAATAAAAAATTAATTTTTTACCTTTGGCGACCAAAAATTTGGTCGCCAAACGTTTATTTTCAGCTACAAAAAAGAATCTTAGTCGCTGTATGTTAACTTTTGGCTACTAAACCATTTAGTCGCCGATTAAAAATTAAAAAATTATTTTTTTACTTTTGGCGACCAAAATTTTAGTCGCCAAAAATGAATTTTATTGTTATTTGGCGACCAAAAATATATTTAGTCGCGAAAGGTTGAAATTTTTGTTTGAGAGGGAAACAAATTATTTTTGGCGCCCGATCTATTTAGACTCTGTTCTGTCTCTCACACACACAGACACACGACCAAAAATATATTTACCCTCACCATCCCTGCTAACAGTTACCATCGAACTTCCACCAATTTGGTAGCTAAAAATAAAAATAAAATGGAGAAAAACTTTTGGCTACTAAATATTTGGTAGCTAAAAATAAAAATAAAATGGAGAAAAACTTTTGGCTACTAAATATTTGGTAGCTAAAAATAAAAATAAAATGGAGAAAAACTTTTGGCTACTAAATATTTAGTAGCTAAAATAAAAGTAGACTTTAGGCGACTAAGAATTTTGTAGCTAAAAAAAAATGAAAAAAATAAAAAGATGGAAAAAACCCTTTGGCGACTAAAACTTTGGTCGCCATAGATACTTCAAGTTTTGGCGACCAAAGTTTTAGTAGCAGAAAATAAGATTTTTGGTGACTAAATTTTATTTTAGGCGACTAAAAAAATTAGTCGCCATTTATAGGACTTTTGGCGACCAAAAAAAATTTAGTCGCCAATACCTTCCCCGACAAGTTGTCCACGACCAGTCTAGCGACCAAACTATTTAGTCGGGCAAATCATTTGGCGACTAAAAATTGTACTTTTGGCGACTAAAAATTTAGTCGCCAAATGTGTATTTTGTTGTAGTGTATCCACCTTCAAAACTTTATTTGTGTATTAATAATAATACAATTTATAAATCATCATGCAATCTATAATGTTAATCCTTTGCATAAAATCACATTTATTCAGCATGATTTTATTTAAAATATTAAATGCAAATTTTAATATATAAATAGAAATTAGTTTATTGTCTCACATGAACATAAGATAATAATACCTTGACATTATATGCCTAGCCGCACCTGAACCGTCTAAATCCCTGTTTATAAGCAACATTAATTAGCACAATAAACCATCCCTACTGTGATTATTTACAAACATAAGTCCTTTTGTCAAGCATCAAAATAATATATATATATATATATATATAAATATAACAATAAATTATATAAGATTCATGAATCAAAATATGATTAATATGACTTTAATCTTCATATGTTTTAATCCTAATATAATTAGCTCTGATACCACATGTAAGATTTTCAATATCTATATATTAGGATTTAAAATATCATAATAATTTGATTAAACTAAAATTTAATACATTTAAATATGTACGGCTTAATCTCGCCATCATTATGAGATACTGAGAATAGTTTTCACAATTGAAAAACCCTAGCACAGGCTCTTCTCCTCCTTCTCCTAATCTTTAAGTTGTTTTTCAATGGAACTAACAACTCTTTAATCCACATACACACTGTGTGTAAACCCTGATATGATAGGTGAGGGGACCGAATCCAAATAAAACAATTACTGAGTCCTCCTATTACAGAACCCAAATAATTTAAAACAGACTTTATACATCCGTACCACATATCCACATATAAAACAATAAATACATTAAGATGGACCATGATCCAAAACTTTATCAATCACAATAATAATATTGGATTCTTACCGATCAATCTATCTGAATCACTTTCAACTCATTTTTTCACAAAACCAAACAAAATATAATCAATAAAAGAGTAATTAAGAAAATTTCTTACAGTTGCTACTTTCTGCTCTCCAGCTCTAGCTATTTTTCCGTCGATTCAATAACATTCCTACGATTGAAGAAGCAATGAAGCGTGATGGTGTTAACTACATTGCTATAAAACCTCTTGGAGGCCTTAAAAGTTTTGCTGCTGTTTACTTCGGAGGATGACAAAAAGCTTTGCTCGGAGATGGCAACGGTCAGGTGTTGTGATTGATAAAAACAATATGATTTACAATTTGCGTTGAGTAATTGAAAATAAAAATGTTTTAGAGTTTTAGTTTGTGAGTCCTAATAGTTTTAATGTGTATGTGAAATTGATAAAATCATTATTGAATTGAAAAACAGTAAAGAACATAGAGATCTGTCATTGGTGAAGAGTATAGCCACCTGAACTACGGAATAGATTTTCAGCAAAATGGATTACAATCAGTCACGTTTTGATTTTTGAGTTGTCTCAACAAGTAAAGGCGGTTTGTTCCTCTTTCAAGTCACTTCGTCACCGGCAGTTACTGTTTCGGTATGATTTATTTTTTAATTTTTATAATTATTTTCAAAAGATATATAAAAAATATAGAGATGGTGAGACTCAAATAAGCTAATAATCTAATAAATTGTTTATTTTTTATGTATTAAAAAAAAAACTATATGCTTGGTTGTGCTTTTCCAAAAACACTTTTTAAAAAATTTTATATTTTTATTTTTCGTATTTTTTTTTGTTTTTACTAATTTTTTTTAATATTTTAAGCAATTTTTTTTTTTACTTTTTAGACATACCTAATATAAATGTACCTAAAAAGTAAAAAATTTGTTAAAAAAACTTTTTAAAAATTCAATAAATACCAAAAATACAAAAAAAAAACGAGAATTTAATACATTTTTTGTATTTTTATGTATTTATTAAAATTTTAAAATATTTTTTCACAAATTTTTTACTTTTTAGATACATCTAAGTAAAGTGCATCTAAAAAGGTAAAAAAATGTTTAAAATTTTAAAAATATTCACTAAAAACAAAAAAAATACAAAAAACTTAAATTAAACACACTGAATCAGTGTTGTTGGACTTTGCTTATTTGGTGTGTACTTTTTTTGGCTTATTTTGGTTTCAACAATGGTAGGTGGCCCGAATTTTCTTAGCTCGAATGTGTCAAAACGACATTATTTTGACACATTCGAGCCATTCGGACCACCAAACATTTTTGTTTTGGTTTCATTGATTTTTTTTTTAAAAAAAAAATCTTAAAAAAAACAGACACAACTTGATGAGATGAATCAAAAAAATTTAAAAATTCTAAAGAAATTTAAAAAAGGCAAACATAAATAAAATACAATAGAACTTTTGGCTTATTTTGGATTTCTTATTGGAATTTTTCAGTTTTTTTTACTTTTTAAATTCGACTACATGAGACAAACCGGAAAAGCAAAAAAATTTAACATAATTTTAAAAAAAATTCACTAAAAATTGAAAAAAAAAGAAAAAGAATAGGATAAAAGGATAAGACCTTTATCATAAGTGTTCTAGCCTTGTTTGATTGGCTGGATATAAATGAAGGATATAATGTACATTGGGATTTGTTAGCGTATGCAATGAATAGGATATATCACTACAAGAAATGTCACTTTTGGCTATCAAAATATTGATCGCCAAAAGTTAGAAATTTGGTCGCTGAAACGATTTAGCGACTAAAAGGTTTTGTCGCCAAGTTCGTCGCCTATACCCTGTTGGCGATAGTATTTGCGACTAAACTTTGTTTGGTCACTGAAAGTGTAACATTTGCCTACTAAACTTCTTTTGGTCGGCAAATGTTAGCTTTTCTCCACTAAAACCAGTAGTCGCTGAATGTGACTTTTGGCTACTAATATTCGTGTGGTTGGGGAAGGTGTTACTTTTTGCTACGAAAGAATTAGTCACTGAAAGTTAACATTTGACTGCGAATCCGTATTTAGTCGGCAAACGTGACATTTCGGCCACTAATTTTTTAGTCACTAAAAGTTCTACATGAAAATTTTAACCAACTATTAGAGACTAAATATTTTGGTCATCAATAGAATACATTACTTTTTGCCACCAAATGTTTTAATCGCCAAATGATACCCTTTTTTTTCCGTGACTAAAAAATTTAGTTGCCAATAGTTTCTTTCTCTCATTCTCAATTGTTTTAGCTACTAACTATTTAGTCACAAAATTTTTTTTTGTTAGTTTTTGCTACTAAATTATTAGTCGCCAAAACATTTGATTACGTATTTGGCTACCAAAATATTTGGTGGCCAAATACTTTTTGTTTTGTTTTGTTTTTTTTTTTTCAAAAAAATTCTAAACAACATGTATCCATTTTTAGTACAACCTGTATCCTGTATAACCAATATAATCCATCAACGCTAAATATATTATTAACCATTCAAGCATTCAACAATGTGCACACATTTTAGTTCCAACCATCCAAAACATTAATATTGAACGTTAAACCAGAGGTTCGGGATTTGTTTTGCATTTTCGCCCCCCGACCGCCTTTTTCCGATTAAATTTATGACATTTTCAACTCTAACCCTCACAAACGAAGCACAATAATTCATATATAATATTTATAAAAAAAAATTCAAGAAAATAAATCACAAAAGGCACATTCGACTTCAATCTGATCACATTCAGATATAAAACATGAAGAACAAAGGTAGTATTGGGGCATACACAATGTATTTATATATAAATAAGGACAAATTTGTCACCACTCAATCGATTACTCTATGCTATTAGTTAAAAAATAAGTACTAATAAGTACAAGATGTCGTCATGGCATCACTATAAGCTCCCATTGTTCGAGTCCTTCCATAAAACCCTTCGATTGGAAGGGGCCAACTACTCCCACTCGCCCATCCCCTTCGTCTACTGCTGCTGGCACCTGTAGAACCATTGCATGAATGTGAAATCAAGTGCATGTGTAATAAAAATATAGAAATACATATTCATAGTGTCCTCGATCCAATTACACAATGTAAAATTACTGCACAGGAAAAAAATAAAAGACGTGTTTACCTGCAGTACCATGGAAGTTGAACCCATATCCCAACTAGGCAAATGCCTTTTTCCATTGCCTTTCCAAGATTGTTCAAAACCAGCAAGTTCGTCTGAGACAACACCACAATATAAGTTCTGTTTTACACAACAATATAACGTAAGGAATGCAAGTTGTCACAATTGATAGCAGGAACAAACCTTCATTCAAATTATGCAAGGCCTGCATTGTATCCACCTTACCATCAGAATTAAGCTTCCTTGCAACTGAATGGCCCTACATAAGTAACAAAACAACAAAACCAACTCAATCTTAATCTCCATCCAAAGATCAATCAGCGGAACATGCTACTAAAGTTTGTAATCACATTGAACTCACAAAGCATGAAGTAACTATGAAATATTCGTAAGAAATAAAATTAAGCATATATCAAACATCAACCAATTAATCCTGTAACCTAAGTAACCATATGATCCAAATTCTTTAGAGTTTTCTGGGTGGAGCAAGCAGACAACAGCGTGCATCAGCCAGAATGTAACCAACACGCACAACAAAAAACTGCCACTATAAACAACTAGGCACGTTCTTGATCATAACAACAAGCAAGGACTTATATGGAGCAATCGTATCCTAAACACAAACATGCAGGCACCAATATGTTTCTGAAATTCTGACAAACTCAACCAACTAATTCTGACAAACTCAACCAACTAATTTTCTGAAATTCTTTATCATAGTCTAACATTGGAAAAGGTTCTTTACTTTTTTCATTTTTAAGAATGTTTTTGGTGGGTAACAGTGTAAAACTTTCACAACTCAATTCCAACAATGGTTAGGTAAACTAGAAAGTCCATAGTAGCATGACATGATGACATACAAATCTATGGCTTAAATTTTCCAACGAACATTCTCATTTTCTGACATATCATGTTTCATTGTGGCAATACTAACTCATTATCTCTGAGAATTTGACATACTATTTACTAAAATTAATTATAAATATATCAAAGTCAAAGCAAAGAGTCTTTGCTGCATAATTCTATGGTTGGGGAAGCATTATTTAAATTAAAATAACCCATTGTAGTTTATAGACTACAGGAACACTGAATTTCAAGACCAGTACATAAAAGACCAGAGGTAAACTTTTGGACTATTAACTCGGTTTTGGGTAGTAGAACTCAACTTAAAAAGTTAGCTTTTGCGGTGAGAGTGCCCTCACAATTTTATACTATACGTTACTTTATATTTGTACACAAGTAATTCACACCCTTCCTCATGTGCAGTGTGCTCACTTTGTAGCACCTGCCCCATTAAAAGAATGAGTTAGAACCGTTGGTCCCTTCACAGCCAGGAAATCTCCTTTATGCATCTCTCTGAAATGGTATGACATCCTTCCCTTTGGATACATCTATTGAAACCAAAACCAAAATCAAAACCAACATCATAAAGCCCGACCTCTGTGAGAACAAATTAAAATGTCTCAAAAACCATGGGAGAGAGTTTTCAAATACAAATTAATGTGTACCTTTACAACAAGTTCAAAGTAATCGAGATCTGAATCTAAAGTAATTGGGGTATATGGTCTGATAACTGCTTCACCTTCGCTGTCATTTCCTCTGCCCAACATTTTTAACTGCAGAAGCTCAATCCAAGGCATGCAAAGATGCTAACTCACACAGTCACACCTCATGTTTCAAAATATTATATTATCCTTCAAGGCATGTGGCAGTTAGTTTGTGCCTTGGATTGATAAGAGTTTAATTCAACAACCTTTTGAAAGGTGCTGGAGAACACTAGCCTTCATTAATAAAAGGATTAAAATTCCTTTAACAGAAAGATTGATTCAAATTCCCTCATTATTAAACAGCCTTTTCAAAGGTACTTTATTGATTTCTGTGATACAATTCAAATTCCAATGGCAAGATATGTAGTAATTTCCGGAAATACACAAATGGAAAATACTAAATACCTATAACAAAAAGATGGAATGGCTTCTTACACATTATGAAAAAACTAAACAGAGGAAGAAAAATATAGATGATAGGAAACAGAAAGAAAAAGGTGTGCATTAGATTGCTAGATTTAATTGTTTAATTCATTACTAAAAGCACACTAATGAATTGTAATTTTATTTGTTTCAATTCTCTTACTAAAAGAATGATAGAACAATTTGTATCATGAAGGAGCAAAATATTACTAGCTAGAGACAGGAATGGGCCTGCTATTGCATCAGTTGCAGAGGTGGCAAAACACCAAGCAACCTCCATGTTTGGTTCCTTAAAGTGAACATCATCAAATGTCTTACTTATTCAAATTCCAGCATGCTGCCTTCATTATACTTGGTGCATTTAAAAACCAAAGCCTCAAGTTGGTAAGAGTCAATACCAACACCAGCAGATCAATATGTTTGTATAATATTAGTCAGGTATCAAAATCACATAGTATATCATTACCAAATCATAGTATATCATCACAAATTTGGTATATCATTAAAATTTTCAAGATTTCTCTCACAAATTTCCATGATATAAGTAAAAAATGCATATAAACATTAACTATTCCTGATCATTACTCCACCATTTCAACACAAGCAAATCATCGAACACCTTGCAAGCAGAAAATTGAGGGGCTTATATTCAAACATTTCATAGGCCTATATGTATATAAATATTACAGAAGAGGGTAAGGAGTTGAAGACAAACACAGAGTAGTTGATGGCGAAAGGCGATTCATGGACAGGTATCGGCGATTCACGGACACGTTCGACACCGATGTCGATGGAAGCGAAGACACGTTCGACACCGGACTTGAGCCTAGTGAGAGTGGCCTTCTTGTGGGCGATGATGAAAGGGGCATCCGACCTCGCCAGTGTCAAGAACAGAGCTGCTATCAGAACAAAACTGCAAATGAAAGAAGAAAACCCTAGCGACTGAAATTAGGAGAAGAGAGACTGAAAGATAGAGAGAGGGCAAAATAGAGAGAGGACATACCTGGGGCAATGCTCGAATGGTGGATTGACGGTGGTGCTCGTGTGCGATGGCAGTGATGCTCCCGTACTCGACAACGATAGAGACAAAGGCGAGAGAGAGAGCTGGAGGAGGGCAGAGGCGTGAGAGAGTGAGAAAGAGAGAGAGAGAGAGAGTCACAGAGTGAGAGACAGACAAACGTATTATTTTCTTTCCCAACCAAATTTTATGGTCGCTAATAATAAATAAAGACGTTTTGCCGACCAAATTTGTTAGTAGCCAACTAATTTTCCCTCTGAAATCTGAAGCCCAATTTTTAAATTTTTTAATTATAATTGACAACTAAAATTTAGTCGCTAAAAGTAAATTAATACCGACTAAATTATTTTTAGTAGCTAAAGATTATACATTTAGGGATCAAAATTTTTTTAGTCACCTATAGGGTAATTTTTTAGCGACTAAGTCATTTTTAGTCACCTATTGAGTAACTTTTTAGCTACTAATTGTATTTTAGTCGCCTATTGGGATATTTTTAGCGACTAACTGTTTTTTAGTCGCTAATTGGGTCATTTTTTAGCTACTAATTGTGTTTTAGTCGCCTATTGGGATATTTTTAGCGACTAATTGTTTTTTAGTCGCTAATTGGGTCATTTTTTAGCTACTAATTGTATTTTAGTAGCCAATTGGGCTATTTTTAGCGACTAACTATTTTTTAGTCGCTGATTGGGTCATTTTTTAGCTACTAATTATGTTTTAGTCACCAATAAGTAATATACGGCTACTAAAAATTTTAGTAGCTAAAATATGAAACATTGCCGACTAATTTAAATTTTAGTCGGATATTTTTAGCGACTAATTGTTTTTTAGTCGCTAATTGGGTCATTTTTTAGCTACTAATTGTATTTTAGTAGCCAATTGGGCTATTTTTAGCGACTAACTATTTTTTAGTCGCTGATTGGGTCATTTTTTAGCTACTAATTATGTTTTAGTCACCAATAAGTAATATACGGCTACTAAAAATTTTAGTAGCTAAAATATGAAACATTGCCGACCAATTTAAAATTTAGTCGCCAAAGGGCTGACTTTTGGTGACTAAATTAGTTTTAGTAGCCAAATTTAGTCTCTAAAAGTGTAATTTCTTGTAGTGTATGGATTTGATAACATATCATATGCTCATGTTTGTTAAGTTTAGGATATAATACTGGATATTTCTTATCTATGTTCGTTTGACAAAAAGAACTATGAGATATAAGCAAGTAACATACATTAATGTCTATTTTGTCCCTATACCCATCAACAGGCAATATATATGTATGTCCATTATATCCAATCATTTACCAATATATATATGTGTATTAAATAAAAATAATCAATTAAGCATAACATAATAACAAATTAAATAATAATATAATTTTGCTTAAAATATTTAAGAAAAATAAATTAGAATCAATTAAGTTTTAACATTTTGAAAATTATTTTTCTAAATTTAATTGTGTATTCTAAATTCTTACAAATAAAAAATACATATCATAGTTTAAACGACAAATTTAAAAAAATAAAATAAAATAGATATCATAGGTTATTTGGCCCACTTATTTATTTAATTCTTAAACTGATAAACATTTTTTGAATTAGAACTTTGAAAATTCAAAACCTTTTAAATTAGGATAATTATAAATATATTTTTTATATTTAAAATTTAAAAAATTAAATTAAAACTCCGTATCTCAAAAAGGAAATAATGTTTTTGTTTCAATATATATATATTATTTATGTAAAAAATTCAGATATAAAATTTTTAAAATGAAATTCATGAATAAATTTTTTTTGGTCATATACAATCAGATTTCTCATATATACAATCAAATTTCTCATTGTAAAGTTCAGATATACACATAATCAGATTTCTATCGTAAAAGGGTAAAACTGTATTTTTAGTTCTTATCCCATCGGATGGGATATGATAGGGGGGAGTGGGTATTGTATATCCACCCATTTTGGGAATATACAATCCAATTATATATTATATCCTCCATATAAAAAAAAATTACAGACACAGGATATATGAGGCTCATAGTAAATAATCTACAATCCAGCCTTCTATATTAAGGACATAAAGTCAGATATGTTGGATATCTATCACCTCATGTGAGGGTGATCTTTTCTCCATGTGCTCCATGTGAAGCCAACGCATAAGACAAGCTGGCCATGTGCAAGGCCAGCCTCTCCACCTCTATCTTAATGTGTATAAATGGAGAGGGTGAGAGGAGAGTTAATTGGGAGAGAGCAAACAAGAGTGAGTGAGAGATGTGAGGCGGAGAGATTGTCTCTCTCGGTGTGAGCGAGGGAGACGGGTGAGTGGGTGAGTGAGGAGAGTGTGAGCTCCTCCTCTATTGTAATCTTTTTGTAATCTCTCCATTGTTATAGTAATAATTGGCTACTCTCCCGTGGACGTAGGCATTAAGGCCGAACCACGTTAAATATGGTGTCTCCTTGATTGTGGGTGTGTTTTTCTGCTTGGTATAATTTCTGGAAGGTCTTGGCCAGGATCCCCAATCCCCAACAAGTGGCATCAAAGACTCGTCGGTCGTTTTCGGAACAAAAATAGTGTGTTGTTTGAAACTGCCCAGAAATCAAGTTGCTCGAAATCAGGTTTTGAGCATACCAGGACCAAGGACTCGACGAGAGGAGTCCAAAAATGCAAAGCAAAACCCCAGAGGACATCGGACGTGCCCTCACGCGCCTTCTGAAGATGGTGCTTGAGTTCCAGTCTCAGCATGCGCCACCACGCGCCGTGTACTCAGTCGGCGCGTTTGTCTTGTCGCGTGCACGTGCCACACGTGCGGCAGAGGAAGAAGACGAGACGCGTGGCACTACGTCGTTGCCACGTCATGGACACGTGGCACGACGTCAGCCAGGGACAGCCACGTATCTGCCACATCATCAGACCAGTCAGCACCACGTCATCTGACACATCAGCATAGTGAAAAGTGATCCAATACAACGCAGCTAAGGTGCAGCCGCAGATTTGAGGCGTCCAAAATATTTTGGCTTGATCTAAGTCATCCGGAGTCCGTTTCTGACGATCTAATAGTGTTTTCCAACTGTTTGAAGTATTCTGGACACATTCGTATGGTCGGATTTTGGAATCAGAATTTCTGTAAAAAGAAAGAAGATTAAAGTGGTAGATGGCGTCAAGTGCAATGGACGGAATATTCTGTTGGAACACGAAATATTTCCTAAACTTCTAAAAATTGCAATTTGGCTCAGAATTTTCAAAAAATTATGGTGTGGCCCAACTTTTGCAGATGTTTTTGTAATAACTCTGACCTCCGATTAATGTTAAACCATGATTAATTATGCCTAACAGTAATTTAGAAGGAATCCGGAATTAAATTGCATATGTATTGCATTATCTTAGTGTTTTTATTTGTTTGCCATAAAATGATCTGTTCATGTTTTATGTTTTAAACTGCAAATTGAAGGCTTTATCGGCGGCCGAATCCGAAACTGGTTAGTGTTTTGTGTTAATTAGAATTAATGTGATTTTATGATAAATTTAGTTGAAATTTGATTTGGTATGATTAAATTGGATTAAATAAGCTAAATTACATTAGTTAGACTTATCTACCATTTTGCCATTAGTGGGCCACTTCATGAAACATTTGGAGACTTGATCTATCATCCATTTCTTGACCAAAACCGTGGGTGAGAGAGCTAGAGATAAGAGAAACTTTGGTTTCAACAAAATTCCTTGGAGAATTGGAAGAATTGAAGAGTAGTTTGCAAATTTGAGCTCCTAGACTTGGAATTCAAGACTTAAGGTAGGAGATTTCCTTTTCAATTGTGAATTTAAGATTAATTCTTGCATGGTTCATGGAAGATTAGAGTTTAAAGTCTAGAATTGATTTTAAGAGTTGGATTTGAGAGTGAATTCATGCATGCATGCACATATTCTTGGATTTTGGAGTTGTTCTTCATGAATTTCCACATGCATGTCCACATTTTTGTTATAGTCCATGGATTCATCCTATTCTTGAGCTTAATCTTGTTTTGGAGCATTAGAAGTCATGAGAATTCATGTATGTTACATTTAAGTTATGTTCTTGATATTTTATTTGAAATTGTGTTTAATTGACTCACCTTTGGGCTTTGATTTTATAAATTGATCTTTGAAACATCTTATACTATGAGTTTACAAGTGTTTTCCAAAAAATGAGCCCAAGAGGTCAAGTTTTGGGGTGTTGAATGCTTGATTTGAGCTTGGGAGGCAAATCTAGAAATTTCAGAATTTGGCTTCCTTGCTCGAGTGAAGGATTCCACACTCGAGCGACCATCGTTTGGTCAAAGATTCGCTCGAGCGAAAGAATGGTGGCTCGAGCATAAATTGCAAGCTCTCGAGTTTTTGGTGCATGCAGACGCACGCTCGAGTGACGAGACCTACGCTCGAGCGAAGAGTTGTGTCTCACGCTCGAGCAAGCATCGAGCAGGTTCTTGAAGTTTTATTTGAAATTGTGTTTAATTGACTCACCTTTGGGCTTTGATTTTATAAATTGATCTTTGAAACATCTTATACTATGAGTTTACAAGTGTTTTCCAAAAAATGAGCCCAAGAGGTCAAGTTTTGGGGTGTTGAATGCTTGATTTGAGCTTGGGAGGCAAATCTAGAAATTCCAGAATTTGGCTTCCTTGCTCGAGTGAAGGATTCCACACTCGAGCGACCATCGTTTGGTCAAAGATTCGCTCGAGCGAAGGAATGGTGGCTCGAGCGTAAATTGCAAGCTCTCGAGTTTTTGGTGCATGCAGACGCACGCTCGAGTGACGAGACCTACGCTCGAGCGAAGAGCTGTGTCTCACGCTCGAGCAAGCATCGAGCGGGCGTCGAGCGTAAAATTTCAACAACCAGTACTTTTGCATTTTTACAGACCGATCGAGCGAAGGAGTCTACGCTTGTGCAACCCCTCTGTTTTGACAAGCTCGCTCGAGCGAAGGAAGCCACGCTCGAGCGAGACTCCTGTTTTCAGCAAGTTTTGAA